TTTGTATCACATCTTTCCAAATTCCTTTCAAAAACAAGACTTGTAAACAAGTTCAATAAAACACCAAAAACTGATTTTAATAGAGGTAGAATTTTATTTACATATTGAAGAAAATCATCTGTCAAATTTATAAACAGATAATATTATAACATCTGCAAAATTTAACAGCAAGGAAAATAACTCTCACGAATAAATTTTATTTATTTCAGATATTTTAGTCCAATAGAAATTTTCCTATCTCAACCACATTGTGAAAAAGCAAAACTGACAAAAAAATACATGGCAGAAGACTTTAATTTTAATTGTCAGATAAAATTCAATAAAAACATAAATTTCAACATCAGTTTTGGATAATTTCAATTTCATATAACTATGAGCAAAATACCAGACTAATGATACAGTATAATAAATTATTGACTATGCAAATGCAGTCAGCAAAATGCAAATGATTTAACAATATGCAAATGCAGTCAGCAAAATGCAAATGAGTCAACAATATGCAAATGCAGTCAGCAAAATGCAAATGATTTAACAATATGCAAATGCAGTCAGCAAAATGCAAATGATTTAACAATATGCAAATGCAGTCAGCAAAATGCAAATGATTTAACAATATGCAAATGCAGTCAGCAAAATGCAAATAATTTAACATGCAAATGCAGTCAGCAAAACGCAAATGATTTAACAATATGCAAATGAGTCAACAATATGCAAATGCAGTCAGCAAAATGCAAATAATTTAAAAATATGCAAATGCAGTCAGCAACATGCAATGAGTTAACAATATGCAAATGAGTCAACAATATGCAAATGAGTCAACAATATGCAAATGAGAGAGAAATATGCAAACTAGTCAACAATTCGCAAATAAGTTTTCTTTATCAGGAATTATATGTTATTTTTAATGGAAAAAGGAACAGTTGTACTTTTGACTTACAAGCTTATTATTTTCATTTCCAAATTGTGCATCAAGAAAATACTAATAAATAAACATAGCTATTTTATATTCTAATTCATGTTTTTCATGACAAAAATCATCAAGTGAGCAAACTTTGTTTTCTTGAACATTTGGATTTAAAACATAAAAAATTACAAGTGCGTACCCCCCATCCCCTTCTCCCCTCTAAATGTCCGTTCCTTCTAGTTACCATGAATACATACAAGAACTAGTGAAAACTGTTGCTAAGAGCAAACAGAATATCATCATCATCATCATCATCATCATCTTCTGAACTGACTGCTGTAATGAAAACAATAAATTTGTGTTTAAAAGCAGGTGAGACGAATTGTCCTGTAAAAAAATAAAACAAGTCATGACATGACAGAGTTTGTGTTAGCTAAATAGAAAAGAAACCTGAAATGAGTTGGCCATTTTGAATCAGAACATGAAACAAATTAGGGTTTCACTTGTGCAGAAAGTTACCAAAATTTAAACTCACTGTCGTCTAAATCAGATAGATCAATATCATCTTCATCATCATCAACTGCTGATCCCTCATCTTCATCATTTTCACGATTATCACCATTATCATTATCTTCCTCATTTGCATCATTATCATCTGGATTGTAATCAGACCAAGCAAGACTATCATCATCATCATCATCGTCGTCGTCATCATCATCATCTGGTGTATCTTCCTACAAATGAATAATGCCATGGCATAAGATACAAAAACTAAACCCAAACCAAACCAAGATGGTGGATGTATGCAAGGTATGCAAATCAACTTTTTAACTGATATTATCATCAGTTAAACCCAAATAAATGCATTTAATGGACCATGTGACTAGAGATGCATTCTGGGACATTTACTAAACCATCTGACCAGAGATGCATTCTGGGATATTTACTGGTACATGTGACCAGAGATGCATTCTGGGACATTTAATGGACCATGTGACCAGAGATGCATTCTGGGACATTTACTGGACAATGTGACCAGAAAAGAATTCTGGGACATTTACTGGACAATGTGACCAGAAAAGAATTCTAGGACATTTACTGCACCATGTGACCAGAGATGCATTCTGGGACATTTAATGGTCCATCTGACCAGAGATGCATTCTGGGACATTTACTGGTCCATGTGATCAGAGATGCATTCTGGGACATTTACTGAACCATGTGATCAGAGATGCATTCTGGGACAATTACTGAACCATGTGACCAGAGATGCATTCTGGGACATTTACTGGTCCATGTGACCAGAGACGCATTCTGGGACATTTACTGAACCATGTGACCAGATTTGCATTCTAGGACATTTACTGAACCATGTGACCAGAGATGCATTCTGGGACATTTACTGGTCCATGTGACCAGAGATGCATTCTAGGACATTTACTGAACCATGTGACCAGAGATGCATTCTGGGACATTTAATGGTCCATGTGACTATGGATGCATTCTAGGACATTTACTGAACCATGTGACCAGATTTGCATTCTAGGACATTTACTAAACCATGTGACCAGATTTGCATTCTGGGGCATTTAATGGTCCATGTGACCAGATTTGCATTCTAGGACATTTACTGAACCATGTGACCAGAGATGTATTCTGAGACATTTAATGGTCCATGTGACTATGGATGCATTCTAGGACATTTACTGAACCATGTGACCAGATTTGCATTCTAGGACATTTACTAAACCATGTGACCAGATTTGCATTCTGGGACATTTAATGGTCCATGTGACTATGGATGCATTCTAGGACATTTACTGAACCATGTGACCAGATTTGCATTCTAGGACATTTACTGAACCATGTGACCAGAGATGCATTCTAGGACATTTACTAAACCATGTGACCAGAGATGCATTCTAGGACATTTACTGAACCATGTGACCAGAGATGCATTCTAGGACATTCACTGAACCATGTGACCAGATTTGCATTCTAGGACATTTACTGAACCATGTGACCAAAGATGCATTCTAGGACATTTACTAAACCATGTGACCAGATTTGCATTCTGGGACATTTAATGGTCCATGTGACCAGATTTGCATTCTGGGACATTTACTGAACCATGTGACCAGAGATGCATTTTAGGACATTTACTGAACCATGTGACCAGATTTGCATTCTAGGACATTTACTGAACCATATGACCAGAGATGCATTCTAGGACATTTACTAAACCATGTGACCAGATTTGCATTCTGGGACATTTACTGAACCATGTGACCAGAGATGCATTCTAGGACATTTACTGAACCATGTGACCAGAGATGCATTCTGGGACATTTAATGGTCCATGTGACTAGAGATGCATTTTGGGACATTTACTGGACCACCATGTGACTAGAGATGCATTCTAGGACATTTACTGGACCATGTGACCATGGTGATCATTACCTGCTCTTCATCTTCCTCGTCTTCGTCATCAACTTTACTTCGACCGACTTCATATAATCTACATACACTTTCTGTTAGTAAATCATCCATGTTACCTTGATTCTAGAATGGAATAGAATAGAATAGAATAGAATAGAATAGAATAGAATAGAATAGAATAGAATAGAATAGAATAGAATAGAATAGAATAGAATGGAATGGAATGGAATTTAAAAATAAAAGCCCAACTCTGCTAACACATTACTCAGCATGGACGAAGGTTTACTTTTTTGAAACATATTTATAATATGGACTTATAAAAATTAAAATATGTATTACACCATAACTAAAAGTTCAGTTAACTGTTATTAAAAGTTACAATTTGGGCGCGGTTTTGCAAAAGTGGGCGTGGTCATTTTTGTTACTCAATGTTTTCGTATCTCGATGTCCGTAACTTGAACAATTTGGCATCTTTTTTTTTTTTTTTTTTGCTAACATGTATCACGGAAGCAAGATACCATCAAGGCACAACTTCTTGGAAAGGTTCATTGTTTAACACTTTCATATTCTACTCTTCATGGAATTCAAAATAAATAAATACAAACACCCATAACCAGCTACAATTCACAAAATATGAGAGTATGATATGGTATGATATGATATGATATGATATATGATATGATATGATATGATATGATATGATATGATATATGATATGATATGATATGATATGATATGATATGAAATGATATATGATATGATATGATATGATATATGATATGATATGATATGAACATGTATAATCAGTACCCACATGAACATTCAAGGTCAGTTACGAACTCACCTCTATAACCGCTAGATAACCATCAGACGGATCGGTCGCCAAATCAAAGATATTTTTCTTCACATCGATGGTGGCTGTGGAAATAACTTGTATTTATTAGTGGAATGGCTTGGATTTGGCGTTAGATAAGACATAGCGCAATTTCCCATGGCAACAATCAAACGGCAATAAACATACAGTCACTCACCTATTGGCTTATAGTCTGTGGAGTCAAACGTTCTGAACGAGGAACCGAATGGACTCTTCATCTTTTCATCGCTTAGCTCATCTTCTTCATCCAACTGAAGCATTGCTGATGAGAACAAGTGTTACAGTGATAGCCTGTAAGTTCATGTGGGGTACCTGTTGGATCAGCTGTGACCTTTATATGAATGTCACCACCACGCCAGCTACACCAAGTACTCGCCCATGTCAAATTTGCACAATACTGCTTTTTGGAAGTACTGAACTTCCACTCGAATAGCAGAAACTGGCTTGGAGAGCACTAGAGCACAATACACCAATACACGGATACAGTGACTGTCTGGACATGCTATGGTGCCAGGATTTTGAATTAGAATATTAGAAGATTGTTTCACATCTTTAAAAAGTGGTATGCCTTACCTCCATAAATGACATCCCCTCCAGTATTGAACACGAGTTGACACTGATCTAATGCTGGGACTGTATGTAGTAAATGAAAAGATCTGATATCCCACTATGTGACAAGTGTCAAGGAAAACAAACAAATAAAGGAAGAAGAATTTCAGGAAACTAGTACCTAGTTATTGCATCTATTAGAAGCACATCTGCAATAGAGTTTCATGCAAGACCAAAAGTGTTATATACAAATGTAAGCATATAAGCTTCCAGGGCCTCACAAAAAAATGTTTCTGGTCAAAGTGTTGTTTTTTTTTTAAAAATGGTATGGTGAGTACAAAGAGTGTAACCAGAAACAGGCACTTTACAATGACCAAGTGTTAGTGACCATATTGACAAATATGAAAAAACATCTGTTTATGTAGTCTGGTGTAATATATTATTGTTTTTTTTTTTTAGAAAATATTTGAGGAGACAAGTATGGTGCGTGGTAGTTCACTTGGAACTTGTCTTATGTATTCTGGTATAAGCGGTGATACTAAAGCAATGACTGTAATTTGTTGAAATCATAATTATCGCAGATTACTGTGCATGTTAATCACATAATTTGCATAATGATCAATTTTTGCATAATAATCAACTTTTTCACTGATATTTCAAGTTCTAATCATCCTATTTTAATGAAACTTGGTACATAGATGCTCTCGGACAATGCACATATTATATTTTAGTGCTGGTTGGCATATTAATTACCTAATTTGCATAAAAGATTTTCTATTGTATCAGCAGAGTATTAAACACAGAATAATGATAATCAATAAAACAAAAAGTAATTCAAAAAACAAAGGATACAATTTCGGAATTAATGATGATTTCAAGCCCTGAGGGATGAAATAAACCACTGATATGTGTGTTGAACTTGTCAAACTTATGTATAGCTTTAGGCGACCTGACATCCCATAATACGCCATCGGAAAGGACAAGCTCATCAGTTGGGTCAAAGGTTGCACAGTTTTTAGTGTAATGATTGCTGAGTTCTGAATCGACAAGTTTTAAAATTCTTTGACCTGTTGTTGTGTCGTAAATCTGTGTAGAGAAAAAAAAAGGAATTATGTATAT